GACGAACCGTTTGTTTTACTGCAACGAAAGGGACAGTTGTATGACATGTGCCGCAAGACTGGGAAACATATGTTCAATCATTTACTAAATATGGCTAAAGAATCACATCTTAAGAGATTTGATACCACAGACGACGACGAAAACAAAAGCACGTATCTCTAATAATAATAATAATAATTTTTAAACTTTAATTAACTACATGATTAGGTGGCCATTAAACATGTCCTGTAGAAAACTTTAAGAACAAAATTTTGTGTAATTTTCTTGTTATTGTTATAAAACATAACTTTTTAATTTACTGTATATAAATATTAATATATTTAGATTTAATATTCAATAATAAAAAAGTATAAGTAATCATTGAGTAATTTATTGAGATTTATTTTTACGGTAAGACGTGATATAAAATGTAAAAAACATGTAGAAAAATACAAACGGTTGAACACTAACAGCCAATTGTAGAGCAATTGGATAACCGCTGGGATCGCCATAAAACATACCATTGATAATACAATACCCGAAGAATGCGAACTGTATTAACTGCAATCGTGTGATATATCTCTTCCACCATAAATAGGGCTGTATTTGGGGTCCAAATGCCGACAACAGGTAATAGCTATACATAACTGTGTGTACTATTGAATTGACAAAAGCAAACATCTCGAAAACAGGTGATCGCACACAGAGTTTGCTCGTAATATACATCAATACAGGAACTAAATTGTTATATAAAAATGCAATCATGGTTATTAATATTATTGTTTAATATAGAAAAAGCTAAAGTAAAATATTTATTTACCCATAAAATGATGGTAAACGTGAAGAAATGTGATTTGATTTGACTTTTTTCTTAACACAAAGAATACGGTATCGAATAAATCAATGAGTTTTGAGTAAAAATACACCACTTTATCGGGTATTTCTGCGATCTCTTTGTCCGACCATTTGTTACGTTCGGGTAGTTTTGGGTCCCAAGACTTGCGGCCAAACTCTAGCCATTCAAACGCTTTGTATGTAAAATAAGCATTGATTACAACTAATATAAAGTTATAAAACATTATTATTTCGCGCAAAACAAACGGCTTTCGGTCTCTCATGAGATTTGGTCCCAATTTTGTGACAAATATAAGCCATAAAAACATAATCGTTAGGAAGAGCTCCGGACCACCGCTTAACAGGAAATATGGTTTAACCCTCTCTTCCGTCTCATCGATCCAATAGTCATGTAATATATAATATATATTATCAGTAAATTTATATGTCGTGACATTATCTGTAGTCATTGTTATATTATTTAATTATGCAATTTAATTAAGTAAATGCTTTGTAGTTTTGCAGCCAAATAGTATATTAGAACTGTTTAGACATCTATTTAATTTAGAAAAACAATTTTCTTAAAATATTGACATATGTTTATTAATTGAAAGATTTTCCTTTTAAATTCAACCTTCATTATGCAAAAGTTGTTTTGATTAGCAATTTATTGCGCAAATACACAAATTTTAATTTTATTACCACGTATTGTTTTTGTATAAATTATCACATTAATAAACCGATTCTCTTTAATTCTTATTATTCACATTTTATTTATTTTCAATAACATTTTACTCAACAAAAGTGAATACAGTATATTATTTTTTAAAATAATTTTACAGTATTAAATATAGATTCTGTTTTGGCATATACTTTAATTAATAATTTTGGAAAATAAATTTTGATCATATCAATAAATTGCATTTACTAGTTCATCTAATCCGTTGTCGTCCTCTTTTCCATTGAATCTAAAGCCCACCACAAGTAGGAAACCAACTGCCGATGCGATTACTATCTGTTTAATGTAAAAATAAAATTAAAATTGACATAAGAGAGAGAGAGAGAGAGAGAGA